GTCCTCATTTCACCCACCTCGGAAGGATGGAAGACTGAGTCAACCTTGAGCCGGTGAGATTAGAACCGCTGAACTGCAGATAACAGTCAGCTGAAATGGCCTGCAGTACTGCACCCTACCCACTGCGCCACCTCGGCTCTTTAGAACTAAACTGTACTTTTCACTGAGGACTAAAACTATCTTGCTGCCCATAGAGAGAACATCCTCTCATTCAGTGATATTTAGAAGCCCCAATAGACCTGCGGTAAACAGAATTACTACTAATTGGGCCCTACTCACTTCTTTGCTTGCTTCTCAGGCACTAACATTTGCCTCAGGTCCTCCTTGTAATAGCTGCTACCTCATGAGACCTGAGGTAAAATAATATGCTAGGACTGCAGAACTGTTTTTTCAAGGGAATGCAAGCTCATTCAAGCAGTTTGGAGCTCTGCTCTCATATTCCCTTTCCAGTTACAGGTAGTCCTCGACATACAATGGTTCATTTAGTGGCCGTTCAAAGTTACAATTGGAAAAGAAGTGACAACTATTTCTCACACCTACGACCGCTGCAGCATCCTCGTGGTCACATGAGCAAATTCAGACGCTTGGCAACTGACTTGTATTTATGACCGTTGTGATCATGTGATCTCCTTTTGCGACCTTCTGGCAAGCAAAGTCAATGGGGAAGCCAGATTCACTTAACGATCGTGTTGCTAGCTTAACAACTGAAGCGATTCACTTAACAACTGTGACAAGAAAGGTCGTGACTGCTTGCACAAAATGGAGCAAAACTCACTTAACAACTGTCTCATTTAGCAACAGAAATTTTGGGGCTCCATTGTGCTCGTAAGTTGAGGACTACCTGTACTTGTCTTTCAACAGCACAGCTTTCTCTTGTTTTAACATCAATTATTTGACTCAGTGGTGAAATTCAATTTTTTTTACTACCGGTTCTGTGGGCGTGGCTTGCTGGGCGTGGCAGGGGGATAGTGCAAAATCCCCATTCCCTCCCCACTCTGGAGCCAGGCAGAGATGGTATTTGCCGGTTCTCTGAGCTACTCAAAATTTCTGCTACCGG